TTAACACGTTTGGTTCGTGTGACGTCGTCTTCAGCTGGTTTTTAACATGTTTGGTTCGTGTGACGTTGTCTTCAGCTGGTTTTAAACACGTCGCCTTCAGGCTCAGACAGTCTGAATGTTAATCAGCTGTCGGTGGTGCCGTCAGTTTAAGACTGGACTGAAGTCTCCTCTTGAGTTTAAATCTGCAGGATCTGGGCTGTTCTTCATGAAGACTTCAGCTCAGAGTCTGGTTTCAGCCTCTCTGTGTGTTGGGGGTGGTGGGGAGTGTTCTCTGGGTTTATTGGGTCCGACCCTCCGTCTTGTTTCCATCTTGAACAGCTGACCTGATTTCAGCTTCGGGGACGGCGGTGCATGCAGAGGGTTAATGTTTCCCAGATTTCTGTCTCCTCTTAAGGAATGTTCCACTTTCTGCTGCTGCCTGAACTCTCCATCCCCTGTGCCTAACCAAACAGAACCAGAACCAGACCCTTAAAAATAGCTGTGCTCAGAGAAAATTCACTTCCTGTGGACATTAGGAGACACGGCAGCGTTTAGATTGTAGATCGGCCTCATTGAAGAATTCACAGCCACTCGAGTCATTCAGCTGCTGAAAATAACTGCAGCTGTCTTGTCAAGTTTAATCCTTGATTCTTTGTGTTTCCAGAGAAACCAGATGGCTGCTTGGACTGGGATGTTCTCGTCTCAGGACTCTGCGGTGACTCCCTCGATGCCGCCTCCTTCCTAGGTCCCAGTGACTTCCGGTCCAAGTCTTTCTTTGGACCGTTGGCCCAAAATGCCAGTGAAACGTACCGTTACGCTGCCCCTCTGCACGCCGAGGCTACCCAGGACCTTGGTTTTCTGCAGACCAGAGATGAAGCCGGTACTGAACCAGAAACCTCCCCTGACTCTGTTTCAATCCCTCCGGTACCTCAGAACTCCTTCCTCCAAACACGCTCAAATAGGCACCTGGACAGTTACATCTACAGTCTGCTGCAGCGGAGGGCCCGGCCCATCAGGTCCAGCAGACCCAGAACCAGCTTCAGCACAGACCCCTCAAAAAGCATCCTGAGGCAGGCCAGCTTCTGTGGAAGGCTGATGTCAATTCCTGGTTCTGGTTTGGGAAATCCAAGATCTTTGTTCCCTGCTATAGGAACCACAGCAGAATCTGGACCAACCTCATCTTCACAAAAGAAAAACTGTATGGAAACCAGAAGCGAGGAGCTGAATGGTATTCATGGTGACATGATTCGAACTGGTCTCAGAGTCAACAGCAGTGAGTCTGGATCACCTGGTGGCTCTCACATCCAGAACAGTGGTTCTGTCTCTATTAGGGACAGCAATACCAAGAGGGGAAACGGTTCCTCCCCTCATTCAGCTGCAACTCTTCTCAAGGACTTTAGAAACCAAGAAAGTCCTTCAGCTAACTCCTCCCACAAAAAAACATGTCAGCCTTGTTGTCCCACTAACCAGGAGCTGGTTCTTTCATCATCTCTAGCAGGAGATGATGTTGGAACCAGCTGGGAGAATCATCCTGGGATAATACAGACCAGTTCTTCCAAGAATGGACCCCAGCTTCTCCAAAGTGGCCCAGCAAAGAATGCAGAAAAGTCAGTCCCACAGCTCTCCAGTCTGGGTGGATCATCTAAGAATCTGACAAATGGTGGAAGAGAAGGACAACAGAGGATTGTGGGTAACGGCTGGTCCCTCCCTGCCAAGCAGCAGAACCTGAAAGACTGCAGGGGCAGCAGCAAGAACATCAAGACTTCCAAGATGGCACTAAGGACACTGTTGGCCCTCGAAGCCAACGAGCTGCCTTCAGAGAGAAAAGGTGATAAATCCTGCCACAAGTTTAGCTCCAGGACAATCCTGTTACTGGAAGATGCAAGCTCTGCAAACGTCAAGACATCTCGCAGAGGTACATCCGTTTCAGAAAGACAAGTCCTGGACAAACACGCCAAGTCAAACAGCCTGCAGTCCGGTGGATCCAAGCCCCATCGGCACGCAATCCAACGACGACACCACAACCACCATCACCGTGTGTGCAATCAACCAAAACACAAGCGTACTGATCACCGGCGCTTACGGGTGATCGCAGAGATTCCATCAAGCAGAGCTAAGAAGAGTGTCCTGAAGAGACAGAGACACCTGCACCCCCCGTCTGGAGGCCAGCAGGGCAGTCCGTACTCCTACGTGACAGGAAGTGACTCAGAGTATTCAGCAGAGTGTTTGTCACTCTTCCACTCCACCATCATGGACACCAGCGAGGATGAGAGGTCCAACTATACCACAAACTGCTTCGGAGACAGCGAGTCCAGTGAGCAAGAAGAGGAGAACGGCACCACCACAGACCGAGAGGAGAGTGTCGGAGGTGGCCCGGTAGTACCAAGAAGAGGGAAGGGGAGGCGGCAGTCAGGAGCAAAGCAGGACAGTCATCTGGGTCACACCAAGACCTTGATAAAGATTAAAGCATCTCACAACCTGAAGAAGAAGATCCTCGGGTCCAGATCAGGTTCTCTCAAACTCATGACCACTGTGTGACCCACCAAACCAGACCAGAACCATACTGGTTGGACCTGTCTGACCAGGCTACAGGTTGCCTTACATCCATGCATCTTCTGTGCCTGAAATAAACCCAGAACTTGAACGTTTACAGACCCAACTACAGTTCCAAACCTGAACCTTTACAGACCCAA